GCAAAATTAAATTTTATATCCTCAGATAACCATAATGGTATCCCAAATATTGTCTCCATTACTCAGTCTCTTGTATCAAATATACAGTCATTTATAACACACATGAAGGTACAACTCTCGAGCATTCTTTCTTCAAAGTTGAAAAAGTATAACTAGTACACTGAGATTCAGACAAAAAAAAATTGGGGGGCAAGAGTTTGTATATTCATTCAAATTTACCGATGTAGAAAAATTGCACATTGTTGTGATCACTAAAACAGTTTGTGTAAGTGTGTGTGTTTGCATCCACATACACACATAGATACAAGTGTTTAATGTGTGTACACATGCACACACACATTTATGCATGTGACTTGTGATGAGGCATTTCTTTGTTACTAAATGAGGTACAGTGAGCTCCACACTACATTTGGTCCCTGAGTGAGTCACTGAAACCTATAGTACATTTCACTGGCTGAGTACAACAACTTCAGCATTAGGAAAAGTCAAAATGAAAAATACATTGGTCATGAACATATATCATGTATGTACATCTTTTACAAGTTATACAGAAATAAGTATTGTACTCAGAACAGATTCACTGATACCCATATTTGATAAATATTCAAGGCCAATTGTATATCATTTGTACAATTCTTGTAGTTGTAGTGTTCATAATTCTCAGCCAGCAACTTGGTCCCTGAGTGACTGCATTATTTTTTACTGTAGTACTGTATATATAGTCTCTCAGTGAGTCACTCACAGGTCCCCATGCACAAAGGTTCTCAGGTTAGTCACTCTAAGGGCAATGCTCTGGAAGACCCATGAGGGAAAAATACTGACTCATTGAATATTGTGGTACCATATGGAATTCTGAGGTACTGCAACCAAATCTCTACTATAACCAAGTTATATAACAATGAGGATGTAAATTTTATAATTATGTCAAGTCAAGAGTTTACTCCAAAATGTGTTAATTAATGCCTCTTACTTTTTAGTTTTCAGTACACACACATTGCAAACCATCATGATAGTTATATACACAAAGGGTTATTAAAAAAGCACTAAACAGTTTTTAGTAGTTATAAAGAGCAACCCATGTGTGAATTGGGGATGGAATACATATTAAAAAATAGAGAAACCCATCAAGTTTTGTTTTTGAATTACAGTACCACCAGAAGGTACCGTACTTCTCATTCTTAACACCAGAGGTGCCTTCAGAGTTAAAATGGCGTCCTATCAAGAGAACGCATTCTCCTCGAGATTTTGTTCAATTGGCTATAACCCCAATTTAATGAGAAATCCATGATTTTATCTTGCAGTTAGATGGTGTTCCCCCTCATTTTCTTAAGTGTGTGTGAGAACATCATGATAAAAATTACCATTGCAGTAGATGGGAAGTGGATCTCAAGAAAATGCCACATGGTTGTCATGGCACCTGAGGTCACCAGACTTAAACACCATGAGTCCTCGTCTTGTGAAGTTGTGTGAAATATACTGTTGTACTACAACTACCATAAGACACTGGTGAACTGAAAAGCAGGATCACTGAGATAGTCTCGTTAATCACCAGATACACTCTGGCAAATGCCCAAGATGAATCAACATTTGCTGTGTGACTCATGGTGCTCACACTGCAGGTCTACAGCTTTAACTGTAATAACAACTTGAAGGTTTTCTCTATCATACAAAACTTGATAATTTCTTTATTATTTAGCATGTATTCTATCCTGATATGCAAATAGGTTGATTTTTATGACTGTTAAAAAGTGTTTACTTTTTAATAACCCCACATATATATCCTTTCTTAATGAGAATTCTACTTCGCAGTTAACGTTCGATAGGACTTTTATAAAAGCATGGGACACTTACACCATATAGTAAAATTCTCTGAGGTACAATTCCAAGGTAAATAATTTGCTGACTATTAGTATTCAGTCATATAACAATATAAATAAATTTATTAAGGATGCTTACAAGTCACTCATAACAGTGAGTCATACTCAGCCTGCAGTCAAGAGTATCAGAGAGAGAGTTACAGTCAACATATTTTCAGACACAAGAGAAACCTTGGAAACACTGATTAACCCAAGACCCCTGGGCATTCAGAGCCTTCATTTTATTTTATTTTTTCACAAATCACTCTTTATATGTACAGTACTTAATACGAATAATAATAAGAATTAAATTCCAATGTGTAGTACTTAAGTTTTACATGAGTTCCCATTTGGCCAAGCTAATGTATGGGGTCTACCACTTGTGTCGTCATGGTATAACTTCAGGTATCATTACAAAATTTTGGTAATCAGGAATCACTTATCATACATAGGCAACTGAAGGCAAGAAAGCCAATAACAACACAGAAAAGTAGACAGTCTGGTGAAGAAGGGAAATGGGAGAGGATGTGGACTGGAGAATGTCTTATTGGCATTTGACCAATGGGACTAAAACAAGCACAATACAAATATAAAGGCCCCTTTCAGAAGATCAGTTAAGGCAGGTCTGAATTGAAATGAATTATATATGTCAGTTCAGAAGATAACAATCAACCTGACATCATTTGACAAGAAAACCCTTGTATATTTTAAAAGCAAAGATAAAATTTAAGCAAAAATGTTCAATTCAAAAAGGAATATGATCAAAGTGATCATTATTATGACTAATAATGAAATATTAACATTTTGAGAATTATAAACGAACATCAAAACCACGTACATTGACCGGTATTGTTTGTTAAGCCTTGGCACTGCCTAAAGTTGGAGATATCCCAAAATTGAGAAGCTTGAATTGTCACCTGAAGCTTCCCATTTTCACCCATTATTTCTTTGAATATCGAGCTATGAAGTGTGAAAAATTCAGTGTTCATTATTCACATGCCATATTAGATAGGTTATTTTAATACAATACTTTTTATATATATATATATATATATATATATATATATATATATATATATATATATATATATATATATATATATATATATATATATATATATATATATATATATATATATATATATATATATATTCTTTCTCTCCTTAGGAAGTAAGAATAAATTTAGCCTCTACTGTATGAAAAAACATGATTCTGTTTTTTTATAGAGGTGGTTTGATTTTAACAAATATTTGAACAGAGTATCATAACAGATGTCATTAAACTCTTTAACAATGCTTCTTTCCTCTTTTAGTGAATCTTTGGGTTGGGCATATAAAGTAATCATATACAGTATGACTAGGACACGAGATCATTGGGATAAGTTAACCTGACTACAGAGGATATGGCAAAATCAGTGAGATTCCTTATCCTACATTGAAAACAATCAGACCCTTCACAGTAACAGTTCTGTCTTGATCACATGAAGAGACATTAACTAGAACATCAACAAAACGCACTAAAGGGACATGATTTAGATGGTGAATTATCCGAGCTGGATCATGTTAGTTGAAAGCTGAATATCAAATAGGGAATTGTTAGATTTGCATTAAAACTAAATCTAAAACTTGCCATGTCAATTCTGAAATTGTTAACAATGAATGTAGTTGTTTATGAATTTAATAAATTATTCCTAAAATGGTAAACTCTTACTTTACTGGTTCTCAATCAAGATTTATAGAATCAATGCTCTTTGTAATTACTAATTAAATTTACAGATACAGTATCTATAAATAGCTTTTGATACTAATAATAATACTATACGTATAACAAATATAAATGGTGTGATGATTTTAAAACATTTTTAAAAATTTGTTATTAGTGCCATCCCGACTAAATTAACATCTAAAGCAGGTCCCTATACTTCTACAAAGGCTAGTCTGAAAACAAGCCAATAAATTTATTCAAGAATAACAAGGATGTGCACAAACAAAGTTCAAGATGTAAACAAAGACTTGTGTTGGGACATTAGCAAGTGGAGGATCTTTCTTCCTTTATGGGATAAAGTATTTGGGAGTTATGACAGTATCCATTATTATTGGTTGTTTAGAAACTTCCTTATAATATCTTGTGCTATCATGTGAGAATAACACAAGGGTACTAAGGAAGGACTCATTCAGCAACTATAATCACAGATTCTGATTGATTTTGATACATGACACCTTGTGCTCTGGAAGGAGGGAATGGATGACAACCCAACTTTCCTCATTGCTGACTGATTTAGCTCCTGAATGTTACTGGGTTCCTGTAATATAATAATTGCTGCTGAGTAACTTACACTGCCCAGTTTTGCACTATTAGCTGGTAGAGGTGAAGTCATACTTAGGTTTCTACCAATATACTTTTACTCTGCTGTGTCTTTTTTTCCTTTGGAACACAGTACTCACTGTTGCAGAAAGGGCAATGTTCTTGTCTTTTGTCTTTGCTGATAGATGGCTTCTAGCAGGTTTTTGTACATGTGAGCAATGTCATCAACTCAGTTCAGCACCTTAGATGCAAATCAGCAGATGAAGACTAGATCAACGACTATTAAAAGCAACCAGTAGGCAGGTGTTTCAAATAGCTGTACAAAAATAGTGAATAATAAAGACTTCTGCATCATTAAATACTTTTTAAAAGTGCATGGCAGGTTGCAGAACAGGTAAAAAGAGTTCACTACAAGAATTACAAAACAGCATTTTTCAGTGGGTAAATAATTTGGACATTTTTCTTTCACAATTAGCAAGATTAGTCATTGAGATTCAGCTGCAACTTACTTATACTATTACACTCTCAGCTCAATAATTTAATTAGTATTTCATATATTTATAATTTTTCATTTCCTCTTCTGTTCTGAAGTGCTGGAAGCAAACTACAGTATACTGCTATGGTATGCTAATTTATGTCTGAACTCATTCAATAATTAACATTCTTTACATAGATGTATTTGAAGCTCATTTTCTATTAATGAACTTCAAGTACATCTCTGAATACAGTATTAATAGCTTCTCTCTATGACCTATCATTTTCAGTAGCATGCTATTCAGATTCTGAATCTAAATAAATGAAATAAAAATCTATTTTTGGTGAAATGCAAACTCTTCATGTGAATTCATGGACAATGTATTATGAATTTGTGGTTCATGTTTATTACTTCTTCATCATATAACCTGTACATTGCTGCCTTAGCCTGGATGGCATATAAATGTCTTTCTACTCTTGGCTATTAAGTTATTAAATATTTTACTATTATGTACATTATACTAATTATCAGCCAACAGTATTTTCACTTAAGATAATCTTTTTGTGCAAGATAGTTCATTGCATGTCACTGCATCCCTGCTTGTATCATTAGGTAACCACCACTTCTTTGCACTAAATGATTTACAGTTATCAAGAAGTTTTGCTTATTATTGTTAAACAAAATTTTTCTTATGCATCACTTTTTCTTTTTACTAATTTCACTCATGAATTATTAAGGAGATGCACTCAAATAAAATAATACACTCATAATGAAAAGTCAGCAACTAATGAAACATTTACCAACATTATCCGGTAAATGCTTATATTTTTCAATAATAAGATATAGAATGGCTGTAGAAAAATTAAATAAAGCTAATTAAAGAGGTAATTTGCACAGAAGTTACAAAGTATTAGGAAATTAGTTTACAGGTGTATAAAAGAAGACTAAACGTAAGTACATGTATACAGTGAAAATAATAAAATTGTAACCATTGTATAAGAAAGATGATAATAAATATAATAACAGCACTTACTATTTTTTGTAAATAAATTTTTTAAAACAATATTAATAAATATTACTTAAATTTCAGTACTAATTTCCATACAAGATCCATACACAGAAAATAATTAAAGATATGTATACGTACAAGGCAACTAATATACTGCAAAACATATGTGATGAAGGTAAAATAAATAAGGTCTCTTGATAATTACTGGTAAGACGGCAGAATAATCAACACAACACTTTCTGAAGACAGAGAATTAGGGGAGAGGTTTCCACACTAGTGAAAAAAAGTCTATACAGTAATTACTTAAGTTAAAAAATATTACCTCAAGGAGATAGCTTCAAATATATATTCTTAAGAAGAGGAATGCTGAAAATGATTTTTGCATTAAAAGAGGAACTGTAGGGGGAATGGTCATACAGGAAGTTAATAAAATGTTAGATGTAGGACTGTGTGTATACAGTACTGTATATGATACATGGTAGATGTAACCCACAGATAAGATGCTATTGAAGTCTAATAGTATTATAAGAAGAAATGTAATGAATTGTGGTTGGAATAATAGGACAACAAATAAAGTTTAAATTTTTTTCAGGATTGTATTAATTAATATGAGTGCCTCTCCAAATCAGTTATCTTCATGTTACTTTCTTAATATTGCATCGAATTTGCCCTGGGCTCTTGGAGGATAACAATGCTGGTAGAGTTAATATATATATTCACATTCTTTCCATAGTTCTAATTAATCAGAATCTCACAAAAAATAAATTCATCTGCACCTTGAAGTTCTACATGTATCTGTATTTCCTTACTATATTAAATCACGGTGTTTTTATATGGCTGTGTTGGAGGATTATCCATTGCGCTACCACTACACTTATAATCCTCAACACAGAGTCTAGAACATTCAACAGATTGGGTGTTGAAAACATACAGAACTCAACAGACACTACATAAGGCTTTCATCAACCATCACTGCAGCACCTATCTAGGAGATACGTAAGAAATTTTGTGATAAGCATCACATAATTTTACTTAATTTAAATATTACTCCCACTGTAAAAGCTTGATTAGAGATGATTGCTTCAAAGCATAGCAGGATAATAATTTCAATCATTTGACTCTTGACCTTCCACTGACAGCTGAGGTGTCATAACTTCTGTGCTACGGACATAAGAAGTTCGTGACCTCTGTCTGCGCACTTTAGGTGGTCTTGCTAGACTGAGGGGGGCAAGTGGGGTGGGAGTGAAGGCATTCGGGTGTCGCGGGCGTGCCCCTGCCAGAAGTAAAGGGGCAGCCCGCATGTGACCTGGAGCCCCACCACCAGGCAGGCTGCCACCACTCATCCCACCTGTGTTGGGAAGCCCGCTTGTCCCCCCAAATATCCGCATATCACCTTAAAGGGGAGATACAGCTTTAACAATAGCTTCCATAGACTTTTTTTTCTAAAAAAAAATACAGGCGATTTCTATTTCAGAATCTTTATAATGGTAAGTGTGCAAGGGGTCTTATGATTTAACTTAAGATAGACTTTAAAAGAGTAAACAAGAATATGACTAACTTTGCATGATGGAGTAAGGTCTAGCCAGAAGTTGAGTTGTGGGACCACCAGGAGCACCACCCATATTTTGTGTCATGGTTATTAGCCGCTTGTCATCCTTGCCTATACCTGACTGGTCTGGTAAGTGTCCAGGCATGATGGTGTGCATGGTAGGCCCCATATAAGGCTTAGCAAACACAGGAGGATGTGGGGTGACAGTCCCTGGAGGGCCTGTGGGTGGGGCTGCACCACCCCCGTACTGCAACACAGGTTGTGGTGGAGGAGTCCCTGCTGATCCACTCATCATCTGTTATGGGAGCAATGCTTATTATTACCAATTTTGCACCTTAAATACTGGATGAATAACACATTGCTGTTCAATATCACAGAGGGACGATGAACATATGAAACACTGTAATACAAGTTACTAATTACAAAATACATGCCATATTATCCACTACTAAAGCTACTGGTCATTATCTAAGTCCACCACCAATTCCATGCACAAGGTGCTACCCACCTGTACAGAAGGCCTAAAGAAGGTTGTGAAGAGCTGGGGAGGGGCGTGGGATGTGGGGGTGGGGGGCTGCTGGGGTGGGACCATTGCCATATATTGCCCTCCTACACCCCCAGCTGGGGCTACCCCAACCCCCCCACTGCTGCCACTCACATACCCTAGGCTCATACTCATGCCCTACAAAGAACCAGAGATCACCACATCACCAGGAGGTTTAATAAGAAAACTAATGTTTCCTTTAGAAAGTCTTGGACTATGATCACTTCATCATCTACTCATAAGTCATACATTTTGTTACACTCTCCCAAGCCCATTAATAGAGTATTTACTGAAAATACATTTTATAATACAGTAATTAAATAATTCACCAAATCATCCTTTGGGGAATTTGCCAGATTTAAAATCTGTAGTACTAATAAGAGATATGAAAACATTTATATTTCAAGTCAATATAAATATTCAACCAGTTTGATAGGAGTCTTGTTTTTTGGGGGATAGTTCAGTTTTTGTTTAATAATAAAATAAAATAAATACTGTAATAGGATCAGCAGCTTAACTTACTGGAAATAATTCTTGGTAGATTGCTGTTGAAAAGTGTATCAAACATAACTGGGAGTATATAAGCTTATTACAGTACAGAATGTTCAATATTTGAAAAGGGTATATCAAAGTCAGTGCTGGTTGAATGACAACAACCTCATGAGAGGAAATCCATGTAAGCTAAGCAGAGTATAAAAAAATATATTGGCATACTTTTAAATCCAACCACATGAAAGCTTTACAAAATATTCCGAGATCTAAAAGAAAAGTTGTGTCACAAATAAGGGATTAACCACAAAATCCTGTTTTCTTTTCTAACCAAATTGGTATATGGCAACTCTGCACAGCCAGCAAATTTAAAGGTTAAATATCAGGTTCCCAATACCTCTGACTTGACACTAGAATGAAAAAATAAAATTATTTCCGTACATTAAAAAATTACACACAATTCTAATAAAGGAGACACTTGATATACATGAGCCCAGATAGGGAGAAGTCTGAGATTCTTTGCTGCCACATGAGCACATGCACACTTCTCAGTCCCTTATGCTCGCCTCAGCTAGATAACCAGAAGAGTTGGATCAACACCTCAGTTCCCACCAAACTCAGCTAGAAAATAGGACTTCAAGTTCAATCCCTCATTTATAATCTATTGCCAGTCTAAGGTGCCTTAGACAGCTAGAATAGGGGAAGCCTGTGGTACCATTAGGCCCAGCAGGTGTTCTTAATTCTGCTGGTAGACTGTTCTATTGATCTACCACTCTCTACATGAAAAATAATTATCATATATTCATACAGTACAGTATAATAATTCTGAGGCGAGTAGGGAAAAAACTGTTTCATATATGTATACAGTACATTAAAATGTAATGCTGTAACTGATTGCTAGTATCCCCTCCAACAATTTCCTATTTGGCAAAATCTTAATACATTGGGTTTTTTCAATACATGCACACCAGAAAAGACATTTTGATAATGAAATACAGTATAGTCTGCATTTACGCAGATTTTGTTTACGCGTTTGGTCATTTACGCGGTGCCTTGCCAGAATGTAAATGCTTTAATTACTCGGTAAATTTGGTCATTTACGCGGGAAGCGGCGCGGGCAGGGTGCGCACAAGGTCGCCCAGTAATCAAAACATTACCGAGTTCTTCACCCGCCACCCCCCACAGCCGGCCCAAGTCAGTGATAGTGATAGTGAGGATATGGACTTTGAGGGGTTTGACAAAGAGGCCCTGCAAGCCTCTGTGGTGGATAGTGATACAATTGATACAAGTGATACAGGTGAGGGCCAATAATCTGCCCTCTGCCTCGGAGCCAACCCCCCATCCCAGTGTGCCCAGTCATCTTTTCTACTAACGTAAGTGTTAAAAAACCCTAATATTATTGATATTTCTCTTAAATACAAATTGTGTGTGCATACCATCATAAAATTAAGATGTTATTTTTACTACAACGTAGGTATTGTGTCGGAAAAAGTGGAGTTTGAGGGTCGGCCCAGTCTCTATTTCAATTAATCCCATATGTTCTGTTATTTCATTTACGCGTTTCTCGTTTTAAGCAGTACTCCATGGGTTCAATTGACCGTGTAAATGCAGACTATACTGTAGTTTGTTATGTATGCATATGATGTTCAAAGTGTCATCATCCACATTAATTAATTTGTCTCACTTAAACTCTTTGAAGAAGGAAGAAAGCCAAGGTGGCTTGTTTAATCCCTCACTGTTCTTGATGTTTATGAGAATTTTATTAGTAATATTCCCTCATGTACATCTTTATAAGCAAATAAAGTACATATATTAATACAAATATATGGTATAAATTACCATACTACTACTATACAATACAAACACACCATAATAAAGTACTGTAGTGTGTTAAGTATGCATACAATATCTACAGTACATTCCCACCACCAGCAATTCTGTTTCACTTTGAGGTTTATATCTTGTCCTCTGCAGAATCACAATTAACTTAGCTTGACATTTACTATATCATTTGTCTGTATAGCTTCACCAAGTTTTTAGTAAGTGTTTCAGCAGCTTCTACCAAGAAAAAGATAATGAATATAGCCACTTATTAAGAAATCTGAATCACCATACTGTACTAACTAAAGTCTGGAGTGAGTGTAACAGAATGTGACTTGGTGAGTCAGTGAGAGAGGGCAAGTCTGGAGCTCACAATCTCTTGCAACAGTAAGTACTAAAAAAAATTATCTTATAACCTACCATGTATCTTATACAGTAAACCCTGATTACTTTGGTCTCCAAGTTCAAGGCTCCATGATAACAAGATAAACTAATTTAGACAACAATTTCCAATTCCACACCACCATTTGCTATTCCACAGATGATGTTGGAAGTTCAGGGCAAAATAACATAATGTTGTATTTACAGGTAACTGTAAAATAATTTCCATGGAAAAATTATCTGTACCACTGAGATATCAAGGCAAATTACCATATTAGTAAGCCTACAGCATAGAGTATTTTATTTTAGCTTAGATGTCAAAAAGAACTACAGGTATGAAGGTTAATGAAAATTATTGTCATTTCTACATTAGACAAGGGACACAAGCAACAAGATGGGTTAGACTAGCCCTAGCCAGCTCAGGGAACAGAAGGTAATTGTCATACATGATAATCATGAGACACTCACCTCATCACACCACACTACCCCTCTCTCCTCAGTGTTAACATATCACATTATATATATATATACAGTACAGTACAAAATAATAGAAAGTAGTACTACAGTACAGGTATATGAAGAACAGGAAAAAAGGATTATGAAAAGTTCAGTTAGGTTCATATGAGACAAGAAGACCAGTTTGGCAGCTGGTGCTTACCAATTCAATGTCCCAAATAAATTGAAGAATGTAGCTAGATTTCAGTACCTGTATCCCTAGAAAACTTCTAATAAATATACTGTATCAACACAAAGCATGAAACAAATAATTTTACAAATTTTTCTGGAATTTTCCAAGTTGTTAGTCACCAGATCATTGAAAATTCTCCAGGAGAAAGAGGGAGAGAAATGATGTCTGATCTGTAGTTTATGTGAATAGAAACTGATGTATGAATCTAGTTCTGATTTTTTAGTTAAGCCAAGTGATAGAAAATCAAGGAGTGTGCATATGCTTACATGTTGCGAAAGACTCAACCTTTGTCCTTAACAGGATATCTTCATACCAAGCATCTCCTTAGTTAGACTGCAATGTGAAGGTGGAGTACAGTATATTCTGATTTTTTTTTGTTTATTCCTCTTTTAAATTCCAGTCACATGTATGGGTCTCTGGGAACCTTATTTTCAAAGATATACATCTGCACTTACTGACTACCGGTATATAGACTTGCTCTAGAGCGGAAGTAGCTTAGAATGAACTAATGCAGTACAGAGCTCCATTTTACATGTGAAAAAATTGGAAGGAGCTATTGAAAATCTCAAAACAATAATTCCCTTTAAATACCACAATGTGAAATCAATCTCTGGGGTTTATATGGAACACAATATACAGAATATACAGGTACGTATATATATACCCGGTATATATATATATATATATATATATATATACACAGTATATTCTGCATTTACACGGTCAATTGAACCCGTGGAGGTCCGCGTAAACCGAGAAACGCGTAAATGAAATAACAGAACATATGGGATTAATTGAAATACAGACTAGGCCGACCCCTAAACTCCACTTTTTCCGACACAATACCTACGTTGTAGTAAAAATAATATTTTAATTTTATGATGGTATGCACACACAATTAATATTTAAGAGAAATACAGTTGCCCGGTTAATGTCCATTAAAATAATGGACTCAATTCCCCCCCCCCCTTCCCATGCTCGCTGGCTCCTCTCTCTCTGAGAAATGTTTGGGAAAAAACACTAGGCTTACATATTTAGTAATAAATAATACCTCAGACTAAAGTTAGGATAATATAATTGACATTGCTGGATTCCTTGCAAGACTGCCAATAATTTGAATATAAACATCATATATTTTGCACTAAATATAAAATTTTTGCTCTTTCTAATAAAATTCTTAAATTACATCTAAAATTTGTATGTCTAATGCAAATTTTAGGATGTTTATATTTAAATTAATCACCATCTTATAAGAATTCCAGCAATGTAAATTATATTCTGGCCGGGTAATTTCTATGAATTTTATGAGCTAAAAACAAATATCTTCAGTAAATAAACAAATTATACTTCACCCACGTAAATGATGAAATTTACTGCGTAATTAAAACATTTCATTCTGGAAAGGTGCCGCGTAAATGACCAAACTCGTAAACAAAAACCGCGTAAATGCAGACTATACTGCATACAGTTTCCTAACAATGGGATTTAATAAATTTAACTTCTAACACACTACTGTACTGCTTTCCAGTGGGTAGACCTGTAACTGTGGCAGTTAAATTAAAAAAGTAATATTTATTTTTTTATTTAAAAGTGTAATTCCCACTAACATACGGTACCAGTGTCAAAGGTATAAGTGTGGAAAAAATTAAAAAATAATAAACACACTTTACATGTGGCTTGCATTGCATACACAGTGTACATGAAACTGATGAGATATTAGTAAATATTGGACCATTATAAATTTATTATATACTTTCAA